TAAGAATGCAAAATCATAGTGAATTGTGAACTCGTCACCCTTAATCGTGACACATTGTGGTCACCATTCTTTAAACAATAATAATAAATGATCATATAATTATACTGATGATGTCAACATTTTAATTGTGGTGTTAACATCAACCGCCAGTGTATTTGTACAAAGCATATGAAATTTTAGGGGTGTTACATTGTTAATAAAGTGATTCCCGATGATTGAGAACTTGAGTAGCATCACTAAGCTAACTCAATTCCCATGGAAACTCTATTCTAAGAAATTAATTGTGGGAGACATTAACTACATAGGAGATTTTCTGCAACAGATTGAGATAACGATTTTCTGTATAGTAAACCTGAAACAATTACAAGGTCAAATAAATAAAATCAAACCACAAGAATTCAAAAGAATGATTTGAGATAAACCTAAAGAATGTGATCAAAAAAATGTAGCATATAACCACCATTTCAATCCTTGGACGACATGGAGCATCCTTCACATTCTTCAAATTGTTGTCCAATAGTGTCAAATAAGTTGACTTTTCATTAGTCTTTGATGCAGTTATATTTATTCTACCTGTCTTAACAAAGTTCTCTATATATTAGGCAGACAAACCTAGTTTCAATAAGACCGACAAAGATTAGATCTAAAAATCAAGAAAAGAGTAATTGAAGATCGAAAAAACACTCGAGAAGAGAAATACAAAATCGATATGAAAAGGGGAAAGAGTACAACAAAAAATGTTAGAGAGTGATGATTAAATTTAGGATGGGAAGGTCAAAAACCTTATATAACGACTTCAAACAGTGAACCACTCACTTCCAACTATAAAACATTTTTTATATATATAATTTTATTGTCTTTACCTTTTTTTTTTCTTTAATATATAGTCTGTCCAAGTTATTGTTTTTTATATATAGAGAAAGAGGGACAATCTTTTAGGAGTTGTGTCTCTCCATCTGTCTTGTTTCATAAACTAATAATTCAATGGAGAAAATAGAACATGAAGAGTATGTCACAAATGGTATTAATATAATAAACAAATAGTATATTGTATTTTATTGCCTTTAAAATATATTTATTCATGATAGTTTAGATAATTAAGAAATGTTAGAAGGTAAAAGAAAAAAATAAAAGTTTTTCAAAAATACATACTTTTTAAAGTAGTATATATATAGATTAACATTTAGCAATTTCATCTGGATAGCATACAATAATAATAATAACAACAAAGCTTGATGATGGAAGTCTGACAATGGCAAATGCCACAATTAATAACCCTAATAGCACATGACTAAAAAACCTTTGCAATTTGACTATGATCCCGATCTGAAAGGGTGTTTGATGCATACAATGATACACTCGGGGCATCTAACTTGATTGAAGCGGTGAGCCTCTCTAAATTCTCTTGACTCACCCAAACTCCCTTTCTCTTCTATCTTCTCAAGTTTGCTGATCTCAGTCTGAAATCGATACCCACATGTTTATTGATCCTAATTAATCAATTCAGGCCATAATACATAATTAAGGCAGCAAAACAGATCAGAAAAGAAATAATCGATGCTATACATTACATACATNATTGCCTTTAAAATATATTTATTCATGATAGTTTAGATAATTAAGAAATGTTAGAAGGTAAAAGAAAAAAATAAAAGTTTTTCAAAAATACATACTTTTTAAAGTAGTATATATATAGATTAACATTTAGCAATTTCATCTGGATAGCATACAATAATAATAATAACAACAAAGCTTGATCATGGAAGTCTGACAATGGCAAATGCCACAATTAATAACCCTAATAGCACATGACTAAAAAACCTTTGCAATCTGACTATGATCCCGATCTGAAAGGGTGTTTGATGATACACTNAGCACATGACTAAAAAACCTTTGCAATTTGACTATGATCCCGATCTGAAAGGGTGTTTGATGCATACAATGATACACTCGGGGCATCTAACTTGATTGAAGCGGTGAGCCTCTCTAAATTCTCTTGACTCACCCAAACTCCCTTTCTCTTCTATCTTCTCAAGTTTGCTGATCTCAGTCTGAAATCGATACCCACATGTTTATTGATCCTAATTAATCAATTCAGGCCATACATAATTAAGGCAGCAAAACAGATCAGAAAAGAAATATTCGATGCTATGCATTACATACATAAAAAGCATGCAGCTAAGAATAGATTGTTTTGATTTCTGCTATGATTGGATTTTGTTTCCACCAAGAGAATCAAATTGCATATATTACAATCCAAAACAAACATAATATATGTTCATTGATTGTTGCGACAAACCTTAGCCTTCATTCAACTCTCACTTTCCATTAGATCATATATATATATATGTATCAGATTATATGGACCCAAAGGAAGCATCAAGACCCTGATCCCCAGTCCCCACCCATTATTACGAATTTTTTTACTACGTAGGAACTCCTTGTCTTTTTTTATAGGTTCCTAGTATTGACAATACACTCACTATCATTGTCATTTATACTATCAATTACCATTATTACTAACTTGTTCTCATCAGGGAGGTGAGGGTGGTATGGGACATTACGTGATACATTTTGCTTTCTAAATTGCTGACGTGGAAAATGCAANCAAAGGAAGCATCAAGACCCTGATCCCCAGTCCCCACCCATTATTACGAATTTTTTTTACTACGTAGGAACTCCTTGTCTTTTTTCATAGGTTCCTAGTATTGACAATACACTCACTATCATTGTCATTTAGACTATCGATTACCATTATTACTAACTTGTTCTCATCAGGGAGGTGAGGGTGGTATGGGACATTACGTGATACATTTTGCTGACGTGGAAAATGCATGCAGCACGGCGAGTCCCATGTGTTGCTCACATGCCTTTTCTCCACAGGTGTCAATTAATGTATGTGTCGCTATCCACCGTTGCCATCACTATGAAATGCTGCTATCTATCATGACTAGGTACCTNTATCCTATCAAACGGAACGTATGAAAAAAGAAAAAAAAAAGGCAAGACAACTTTAAGAATGCAAAATCATAGTGGATTGTGAACTCGTCACCCTTAATCGTGACACATTGTGGTCACCATTCTTTAAACAATAATAATAAATGATCATATAATTATACTGATGATGTCAACATTTTAATTGTGGTGTTAACATCAACCGCCAGTGTATTTGTACAAAGCATATGAAATTTTAGGGGTGTTACATTGTTAATAAAGTGATTCCCGATGATTGAGAACTTGAGTAGCATCACTAAGCTAACTCAATTCCCATGGAAACTCTATTCTAAGAAATTAATTGTGGGAGACATTAACTACATAGGAGATTTTCTGCAACAGATTGAGATAACGATTTTCTGTATAGTAAACCTGAAACAATTACAAGGTCAAATAAATAAAATCAAACCACAAGAATTCAAAAGAATGATTTGAGATAAACCTAAAGAATGTGATCAAAAAAATGTAGCATATAACCACCATTTCAATCCTTGGACGACATGGAGCATCCTTCACATTCTTCAAATTGTTGTCCAATAGTGTCAAATAAGTTGACTTTTCATTAGTCTTTGATGCAGTTATATTTATTCTACCTGTCTTAACAAAGTTCTCTATATATTAGGCAGACAAACCTAGTTTCAATAAGACCGACAAAGATTAGATCTAAAAATCAAGAAAAGAGTAATTGAAGATCGAAAAAACACTCGAGAAGAGAAATACAAAATCGATATGAAAAGGGGAAAGAGTACAACAAAAAATGTTAGAGAGTGATGATTAAATTTAGGATGGGAAGGTCAAAAACCTTATATAACGACTTCAAACAGTGAACCACTCACTTCCAACCATAAAACATTTTATATATATAAAATTTTATTGTCTTTACCTTTTTTTTTTCTTTAATATATAGTCTGTCCAAGTTCNCATGTGTTGCTCACATGCCTTTTCTCCACAGGTGTCAATTAATGTATGTGTCGCTATCCACCGTTGCCATCACTATGAAATGCTGCTATCTATCATGACTAGGTACCTATATATATATATATTCCAAGTTCTCGACAATATCATGTACATATTTTTATGATTAATGCTTAATTTTCATACTATTATACATGTACCGAAGTATTAAGTACGAAAATTAATTAGGTCGGATTAGCATTATTAATTTTTTGGTACTTCAACACATGAATATAATTAAGTGTCAAGCAAACAGGTGCAAATTGTTGTGTGAGAAGTGGGGGGGCAATTAAATATGTATGGACTTCATCTTTAAAAATAAAAATAAAAACTGAAGTAAATGTAGTAGTAGCTTATAGCCTGCTTAATTAGACTATATATTCTTTCAATAAGGAAACGACAAAATTTATGAACAGTTTGACATAATAAAATATAAACAGAATCAATGGACAATTAAGTTCATAATTTAGTTCTGTTTACTAATTATTAATATATTTAGAGTTTATATATTATTCCCTCGATCCCTTGTCTTCTTCCTAGACAATTGTGGTACTTACCGCCGGTTGGTCTATATCTATTCTATATATAAGAAAAAACACAGTATCTCTCCATTATATTATTCTTTAAGGGTTAATTTTAATTTGTACCTTAAAAGATGACTCAAATTTTAATTTGTACCCTCAAAGTTTAAATATATCAATTTACACTTTGAAAAACATAAATTTGTATCAATATGCATTAGAGGATAACTTTCATCCACTTTGTAGTAAGACAAGTTTGGGATAATTATAAATTGCNCGCTATCCACCGTTGCCATCACTATGAAATGCTGCTATCTATCATGACTAGGTACCTCTATATATATATATATATTCCAAGTTCTCGACAATATCATGTACATATTTTTATAATTAATGCTTAATTTTCATACTATTATACGTACCAATTACATGTACANCTGCTATCTATCATGACTAGGTACCTATATATATATATATTCCAAGTTCTCGACAATATCATGTACATATTTTTATGATTAATGCTTAATTTTCATACTATTATACATGTACCGAAGTATTAAGTACGAAAATTAATTAGGTCGGATTAGCATTATTAATTTTTTGGTACTTCAACACATGAATATAATTAAGTGTCAAGCAAACAGGTGCAAATTGTTGTGTGAGAAGTGGGGGGGCAATTAAATATGTATGGACTTCATCTTTAAAAATAAAAATAAAAACTGAAGTAAATGTAGTAGTAGCTTATAGCCTGCTTAATTAGACTATATATTCTTTCAATAAGGAAACGACAAAATTTATGAACAGTTTGACATAATAAAATATAAACAGAATCAATGGACAATTAAGTTCATAATTTAGTTCTGTTTACTAATTATTAATATATTTAGAGTTTATATATTATTCCCTCGATCCCTTGTCTTCTTCCTAGACAATTGTGGTACTTACCGCCGGTTGGTCTATATCTATTCTATATATAAGAAAAAACACAGTATCTCTCCATTATATTATTCTTTAAGGGTTAATTTTAATTTGTACCTTAAAAGATGACTCAAATTTTAATTTGTACCCTCAAAGTTTAAATATATCAATTTACACTTTGAAAAACATAAATTTGTATCAATATGCATTAGAGGATAACTTTCATCCACTTTGTAGTAAGACAAGTTTGGGATAATTATAAATTGCAACTTTAAAATTTAAATATTTCACATTTATAATTAAAAAAGAATCTCATTTATTAATACTTGTTGAATATCTCTCAATTGTGTCGTGTCGTATCATTTTCGTGTTGTGTTCGAGTCGATAAAAAAATATTTTTAATACAAAATATTTTCGTGTCGAGCCAATTGCATTGTGTCATATATTTTATACTTAAAAATTATAAAAATACATATTTTTTTGCCTATAATACTAGTTAAATAGTTATTTTTTGTCTGCAGTTGTATTATTAATATCTAACTTTAATTTGATCGAACAATCAAAAGAATTGTAAGCAAAAAAATAGTTATTTTATATTTTTTTTTAAAATTTAAAAATATTTTTTATTGACTCGAAGATGACACAATACAATTGAGGGCTATTTAACGAGTATTAATAAAAAAAAATTTGGATCATAAATATGAAATATTTAAACATTAAGAGTGCAATTTATAATTAGTCCAAACTTTTTTAACTGCAAAATAAATAGTAGTTAATCTCAAGTGCACATTGATACGAATTTATATTTTTTAGGGTGTAAATTAATATTTTTAAACTTTGAGGGTACAAATTGAGATTTTAGTGATTTTTCGGGATATAAGTTGAGATTAGTCCTATTCTTAAATCAATTGCCTTTCTTATTCTAATTAAAGATTATTTAAATGTGGAAGATAAAATAATATTTGATGTTGGATAATAATGTCCACATAAACCTTGATTGGCAACTCCTTTGCACATGTCTGTCGCTTTCACTAACATTTTTCTTTTGAACAGAAAGATAAAGAAGAACACAATGTGTGTTGGTTTACATGATGGGCTTGTTAATTTGGAGGCCAACAACTTAATTTCTATGAATGCCAACAAACTAAACCCCCTTCACATTGTTTGTTAATTAGTTTTTAATTACATTTATAATCAACTATTAAAATAATTGCTTCTTAGACCCAAAAAAGTGGGTTGCCTCCATCACAGGCACAGCTAGCCATGGGTCCCCAGGACCGAAATTATAGGAAAAAATTACACTAGCAGATTACATAAAGACTAACAAAATTTATTTTAATATTCTAATTAGGTGAGATGCTCGTCCATTAGTTGAATTCCATTTTTACCAGGTTTATTTATTTATTTATTTTTTAATATAGCAGACAGAACTAGCTGCCTCCAATTTTACTTTGTGCCTTGCATTTTTTGCCCCTTCCGTCCGTTCATTGCTTGTTTTTAGGGTAATTTTGGTTCATTGGTTGTTGAATGATCACCAACTTGGATTAACCATAAGCTATAAGAAATCAAAAAACTTTAACTCATTCCCATATAGTGAATTTATTTACCATTAATAGACATGGACTGACTGCGGNATTAACCATAAGCTATAAGAAATCAAAAAACTTTAACTCATTCCCATATAGTGAATTGATTTACCATTAATAGACATGGACTGACTGCGGCTGCGGCTGCTGCTGCTGCTTCCTCCAAAAAGCTTAAAAACTTTGCTGGCTTTACCTCAATCTTCGCCACCATTATTATCTTTTTACTTTACCCTCCAACTCCAAGCTCACCAAGCCATGGCCCCAAGCTATTTAGTTAACCTCGATCACCCTTCACTATGTATTTTACCTTTTTACTCCTCCCACAACCCAACCCCTTTATATACGAACCTTCCTTCCCCTTTCTCAGCCCTACTACCCATAACCACCCCTCTTCTCTCTCTCACTACTTCCTCCCTTTCTTCTATTTTCCACTAATAAGTCTTCTCTAAACACTACAAAAAAAGCCATGGCCAAAGGAGGCAAGATGAACAAGTTGAAGTTAGTGCTAAAGAGAATGCAATCATTCAGCAAGCTTGGCCGTGGCAACGGCAATACCATCATCCCGGCCGCCAACAATTCTTCCGACGATAATGATGAGCCTTCCACCTGTGATAAAATCTCCAGAGACCTGCAAACGGTATATGTTGGCAAGTCACGGCGCAGATATCTCGTCAGCTCCGACGTCACAGACCACCCGCTCTTCCGGGAACTCATGGAACGGTCCGGTGACAATGATGACTCCATCACCGTCGGGTGTGAAGTTGTACTGTTCGAGCACTTGCTATGGATGCTTGAGAATGCTGATCCTCAACCTGAATCTTTGGACGAGCTTGTTGAGTTTTACGCATGCCGAGACTTGGATTGAGAGGTTAATAACTACGTCTACAGTCTACTCTACTACTACTCAGTAACTGAAAATAACTACCGTACGTCTAGGGACGGACGGGGGTGATCATTCTATTCTATTCTATTCTATCTATGTGCTCTTCTTCAATCAATTACGGTGTAGTGTATAGTTGTATATTTTTCCAAGTGATCAATGATGATTAGTGCCGGTGTAGATAAAAAAAAATAAATAAATAAATAAAAAAGGAGGAGGAGGAGGAGGAGCNCGTACGTCTAGGGACGGACGGGGGTGATCATTCTATTCTATTCTCTTCTATCTATGTGCTCTTCTTCAATCAATTACGGTGTAGTGTATAGTTGTATATTTTTCCAAGTGATCAATGATGATTAGTGCCGGTGTAGATAAAAAATAAATAAATAAATAAATAAAAAAGGAGGAAAGGAGGAGGAGGAGAGACAGACAGAAAGTGACGACAGTTCCATCGAACGGTGAGGATTAACCCATTTTTACATCGGCTGATCGAAAGGGGAGAAGGCCCTAATTAATGGGTATTATATATCTGTATTTTTATTTGGTGTTATTCCAGTTATTTACAAATCAGTTTTTTTTTTGTTTTTATCTGTAATTAAACTTCTCAAATACTCTAGGCACACTATATATCTATGACTAAATAGCAAGAGTGTGCGTGTGCGCGCGCTTACAATGTTAACTACTCCTACTAATTCTACATCTGAATCGTGCCAATATAATTGACAATTCATCACAAGAATTGCATAAGACTGCTATCTATCTCAATTTTGAAAATGAAGACATTAGGACATGAAGCTACTAAGGAAGAAAAAATGGTACCATACCAATATTTATCATATTTTTGAATATCTTTATCATTATTATTATGTGTGTTTTTATTACTGTTGTAGTATCGAAGAGATATCACAATAATAATAAAAATACCNCATGAAGCTACTAAGGAAGAAAAAATGGTACCATACCAATATTTATCATATTTTTGAATATCTTTATCATTATTATTATTATGTGTGTTTTTATTACTGCTGTAGTATCGAAGAGATATCACAATAATAGTAAAAATACTCACAAAAATGATAATATGACTGACAAAAATTACTAATTAAAATAGTAAATTCTGTAGGTATGGTATCATTTTTTTTTTTGTATCATAGTGAAATGCATGTTATATAGATCGATATAATAGCTAGTACTGAAAAAATGTACAACATTCACTGGGTTCCGCAATTAATTACCNGAATATCTTTATCATTATTATTATTATGTGTGTTTTTATTACTGCTGTAGTATCGAAGAGATATCACAATAATAGTAAAAATACTCACAAAAATGATAATATGACTGACAAAAATTACTAATTAAAATAGTAAATTCTGTAGGTATGGTATCAATTTTTTTTTTGTATCATAGTGAAATTCATATTATATAGATCGATATAATAGCTAGTACTGAAAAAATGTACAACATTCACTGGGTTCCGCAATTAATTACCTGTTTCATGTTCTCCACACCGTTAACAGCAGAGTCTCTTTGTCATGAAAATTTTGTACGTTATGAACCCCGGTCTGGCTGTCCAAGCTTTCGGGTGACTAGCATAAGAACAAGGGGACATATTAAAACAAGAGATTAATTACCAGCGAAAAATATGGATCTAAGTAACCCTCCACCGAATAACTGTTGAAAAGATCGATATTGAACGTAGGGGAGTCAAAATCAGAGTTAGTTATATATATATATATGTGACGTTCAAGAAAGAAACCCATATTGGAGTTGAAAGACATCGTCACTAGCCGCACCTTTTCTATTTTTGGACCAGAGTGCAGACTGTTAATTAGTAGTAATTATTAGAGTTAATATTAGTTAAAGGTGGGACCATGAAATAGTTGACCACTCTTTGTTCTCTCAAAATTCTCTTTAGTTAAGAAGTCACGAGGGTTTTATGTACAGTGCTTGATCACTCTTACNACATCGTCACTAGCCGCACCTTTTCTATTTTTGGACCAGAGTGCAGACTGTTAATTAGTAGTAATTATTAGAGTTAATATTAGTTAAAGGTGGGACCATAAAATAGTTGACCACTCTTTGTTCTCTCAAAATCCTCTTTAGTTAAGAAGTCACGAGGGTTTTATGTACAGTGTTTGATCACTCTTATATATATGGGCGTTTTTTTTTTCTCTCTAGTAATAGTTAATATTATGTATTAGAATAGTGTGATCTACTCATGCATATGAAAAAGAAAGGTCTCAGCATAGCACGACATGTTACAAGAATTAATGATTATTTTTTTTTGTTACAAAAATGTGGTAGTGGCGACAAAGGATATTTTTATATTTGAAGACAGCGAGTCAAACAACTTGGGAGGAGGCACCAATATCATACCTATTTATTTGTTTAGAGCTTCTTTGTTGTAAAGTAAATGGAATATGTATAGTTTAGGATTCTAATAATTGGGTTGGGTTGGGTTGGTTTGTTAGAGATGCTATTTATTTATGATATGCTATGTTTGTTGTTGTTAAATGAAACTTTTCATTACACTTATGAAAACTTTATACTGCTAAGTGGAAGACACGAAATCTCTTGAGTACACGCAAATATTAGGTAGCTGATTATCTGTTTGCAACGCGTTTCCGAACTGCTCCAACCATGCATATAGCTGTGGCAGGAAGAGCCAGCGGTTGTTTCACTAAATCTCTTTAGGATCTTTTTTTTTTGGGTCAGAAGCTTTAGGATCAAGGCTTCACGTTTTGTCGTTTTCCATTTGTTCCTAATTTTCTTTCTTTCTTTCCTTTTTTTTTCCAATCATTTTTAACTTCAACAAAATGGGAAATTTTTTATTCCCCCATTGAGTTGGTTTTTTCAATTTCCTAATTAGTTAGAAAGTCAAAACCTCTCCAAGGGATGAGGTTTTGTTCCAGAATAATAATATGACTAAGGTAAGATTGCAACGTCGAAAAAGAAGTATTATTGTATTGATAATAATATTATTGTCAGCTAAAAGGCAGCCAAAGTTCACTTTATTAATCCGATCCAGTTTAAGATCCAAAGAGTCCGGGAAGATAGGAGTACGTGGGAAAGAGATTATCGGGATATGCACTCATGAAAATCAATCCTATCTTAATTGTACTTACCAAAAAAGTAGTGTTCTCTCACTCACGTTACCGCCTCACCAAACCTATATATTGTAAGCTCTCTCCACATGGAGAGACATATCTTCCAACACACATCTCTCAACACACCTTAGCACATCTTTACACCCCCTACACACATAACTTCTCTTTTCTAACTAGTAACTCTCCTGAAAGCTCTGTCCTAGTTATTTTATTCATCAATAAAGACCTCCAGCCACCACTGTCGTTTTTTGTGAGTAGAGTAAGTCATCTGAACCTAACCACTATATATCTGCATGTTTGCTTATATTTAATGTTTTGCCATTAATTACACTATTTATTGTCCATCAATTACACCTCTTCATGCACTCGACTGTTGATCTTGCATGAGACCAATTTGTGCATTATTAGTTTGGCGCCGTCTGAGGAAAACAACTAAGTTTTTCATGCAATCACGACCAGATCGATGAGTCAACAATCGGGAGACAACAACCCGACTCACTAGAAGGAGGTTCCGCCTCCCCTCGCACACTCGGAACCATCTGATATGAGGACTCCTGTTATCAGGCAACAACTTCTACATACCATACAGTTGCTGGTAAGCCAAAATTAGCACATCATTTAGTTGATGCTCTCCCAGGGAGGCATTGCCCCTCAACCCGTAGAAAGAGCACCACTACCTCCAATGGGAGAAGCACAACAACCTCTCCACTTTGGGCGCCAAGTAGTTCCCCAACGTGGAGCCTAGAGCCAAAACACCCTCGGACAACGTTTGGGCGCTCCTTGCCCAGGAGTCCCTTCTCAGCGTGCATGAAGCTCACATGTTCCCCTTCTTCATGTACCTGCGCAGGAGGACAAAGGAGAAAGCCAATATGCTGATCATGGAAGCCGTTAGAACCACCCTGCGGAAGACGTCCCCAACCAATGAGACGAGAAGATCAGAGAGGTGCAAAACCAACTCGGTGATGCCCTCAACGCCATCAAGGCACAAGTGCCCGAGATGGTGGATTACTTGGTAAGGTGCACTGATACCCCGTTTATTATAGATATTGTCAACTACCCCTACCCTCGAAATTCAAGATGCTTGTCATCGAGATCTTCGACAGTACCAAGGACCCACTTGACCACATCAACACATATAAATCTCTCATGCAACTTCACAATGTGCTTGATGAAATCATGTTAGAGCTTTCCCCACTACCTTGAAGGCATCTGCTAGATAATGGTTCGCGAATATCAAACCCTCATCTATCCACTCTTTCGCGGAGCTGAGTAAATCTTTCGTCTCCTACTTCATTGGGGGATGCCGACATCAGAAGCCAATTACCCATCTGCTCACCATCAAGCTGGACCGGGACGACAGTCTTAGGAACTACCTCACTCGTTTCAATGAGGAGGCTCTCCAAATTGAGGAATCAGATGATAAGGTAACCATGACCACCTTCATTGCAAGTCTGCACTCCTCCAGTTTTATGTTCTCTATCCTCAAGAAATTGTCCTCCAGTATGTCCGAGCTGTTATTAAGGACACAAAAGTACATGAACGTCGAGGATGTCACCAAGGTCAGACGAGGTGAGTCCTCTCATGGGGGCGAGAAGAGTAAGGATACCTGTGAGGACAAACGGGAAATAGAGAACAAAAGAAATAAGACAGAGGGAATCTATTTCAAGGACCTCCTTGGTACCCCGCCTTTAAGGGAGTGACAAGACTTCACGCCACTCAACGCCTCAGTGGAGCACTTCTTGTTCCAGATACAGGATGATCCCACGCTCTGCTGGCCCAAAAAAATGAAGTCTGCCTCAAACCAAAAGAGCCTGAACAAGTACTGTTGTTTCCACTGCGGCCACGACCATGATACTGACGATTGCTTTGACCTTAAAAGGCAGATCGAGGAGCTCATACAACGTGGCCAATTGAGACAGTATGTTGCCGACAGAGGACAAACCCCGCCACCTGGTCGGGTCAAGGACAACAAAAAATGCCAGCAACCCCTTGGAGAAATTCAGACAATCTCCTAAGGGCTAGGTGGAGGAGACGATTACAACTCTGCCAAAAAAGGTCTTGGCCCACCTATGGGACACTGAACACCTGAAAATTTTATTTATCCTTTATTGTTTCAGTTGATTTATTTTGTTATTTATTATTTTATGAAATAAAACTCATGCGAAGATTATTGTGTCCATAACTGTCTTGTTTCATTTCATAAAGTTTGAAAACAGCTTATGACATAACGACAAGGTAGACAAAAAGGCAAAAATTGTCATATTCCTGAAAACCAGCCCTTAGGCGCCCAGCACCAAGCGCTCAACCCTTAGGCGCCCAATACCTCAGGCACTCTCCTCATCTTCATATCAATGGAATGAGCCTCTGCTATAGCAGCTCTCTCCCGAGCTATACGTAGCTCGGCCTTAGCTCTAGTGGCCCTCTCACAGAGTGCTTGCAGCTCTGACTCTATTCTCATTCAGACAGTCACTTTATAAATTTTTAACTTCGCACTTTCTCGCGAGTCGCCAAGAAGCTCAGCTTGAATATATCTCTGCTCCCAAGCAGTCGATGTATCCAGCTTTGCACTCTCTCGCGAGTAGCCAACAAGCTCAGCCTGAATTTCCCTCTGCTCCCAAGCAGCCTATGTATCTAGCTTCACACTTTCTCGTGAGTCGCTAAGAAGCTCAACCTGAATCTACTTCTGCTCCTAAGTAGCCTATGCATCCAGCTATGCGCACTCTCGCGAGTAGCCAAGAAGCTCGACCTAATCTTACCTCTGCTTGCAAATAGTCTATGTATCTAGCTTCACACTTTCTTGCGAGTCGCCAAGAAACTCGCCCTGATTCTATCTTTACTCCCAAGCAACTTCAATATCTAGCTGCAAGCTCTCTCGTGAGTCGTCAAGAAACTCAGCCTAATCCTACCTCTACCTCTAAGAAGCCTATGTATCCAGCTTCACACTCTCTTGCGAATCACCAAGAAGTTTAGTCTAATCCTATCTCTGCTCCCAAACAGCCTCAATCTCCAGCTTAGCGCCTCTCTCACGAGTAGCCAAAAGTGAGGCCTCAAGAGGTGTTATTCTCTCATGAGCCAACCTTAATTGCTCTCAGCGGTCCCCTGTGCCTGCCTTTCTGTTACCAGATGCCTGAATGCCTCTCCAAGCTTGATCGTCCTTAACAAAGGCAGGGAAGAACAATAACCACCTACAAGCATTCAAAAAACAAAATATGAAGGAAAAGAGGCAGGTACAAAATCAAACCCTCGAGATCTAAGCTCTCTGATGTCCTTGGGAGTCACGAACCCTCAAAGTTGCTCATTAACCGAAGTCAAGTCAAAACATAGACACCGATCCATTACTGAAAACAGGACAGCAATATGGAGCTACACTCCCCGTAAAAGACCACACTACAGTTTAACTCCTACAATGGTACAAGGGCTAGCTCTGATACATACAGAAGTCCCAGTCTGAGAAAGAGTGAGGGCATCACCGGATCCTGCTCTCGGGAATTAACCTGGCCATCAGACCTCGGCCAGAAAGCACTAAGGGTATTAAACCTCGCCCTCTTGGGTGGAGGGGAAGACACCATCCTAAAAGTATAGAGAGTCTCCATCATCGCCCCTATCAACAGGGCGACTGTAATTAGAGACAATGTCAATATAAAGAACCAGCATCGATAAAACATTAAGGAGAAAGTAGGATTAGAGAAAACGGGTTCGCCTCTTGCGCAATCGAAAGCCATCATAGTCTCATTTTCTGGCAAAAACCTAAAATGCCAACCTGTCGCCCATGAATGTTTGACAGCTGCCTGCCAGAACGCAGCATCCCACCATCGTTGGTTTCATTAATTTGTGCTTAAAACTAAAATTCAAAGAGATAGAAGCATTTTTTGGAAAAATTTGTTAACCAAACTGCCTTTGGTCATTTGTATGTCGTAGATCTCGAAAAAATATCTGAATACAAAATTTTTTTTTTGCCTCAAATAGACAACCGAGCACAAAATTATGGACGTTTAAAGTTTTACCTTCTTTCTAATACTCTGGCCAACACCCAACAGGCGATCCCTCTCCTTACTATACCCAGGCCGCCCTGGCTTCACCCAGCTTATAACCTTGGCCCTCTCCAATAATGCAAGAGGTGCCGCCCATATCCACAACAACATTTTCATTAGTCAAATAGAAATCCCGAGCTCTTNAAGACCACACTACAGTTTAACTCCTACAATGGTACAAGGGCTAGCTCTGATACATACAGAAGTCCCAGTCTGAGAAAGAGTGAGGGCATCACCGGATCCTGCTCTCGGGAATTAACCTGGCCATCAGACCTCGGCCAGAAAGCACTAAGGGTATTAAACCTCGCCCTCTTGGGTGGAGGGGAAGACACCATCCTAAAAGTATAGAGAGTCTCCATCATCGCCCCTATCAACAGGGCGACTGTAATTAGAGACAATGTCAATATAAAGAACCAGCATCGATAAAACATTAAGGAGAAAGTAGGATTAGAGAAAACGGGTTCGCCTCTTGCGCAATCGAAAGCCATCATAGTCTCATTTTCTGGCAAAAACCTAAAATGCCAACCTGTCGCCCATGAATGTTTGACAGCTGCCTGCCAGAACGCAGCATCCCACCATCGTTGGTTTCATTAATTTGTGCTTAAAACTAAAATTCAAAGAGATAGAAGCATTTTTTGGAAAAATTTGTTAACCAAACTGCCTTTGGTCATTTGTATGTCGTAGATCTCGAAAAAATATCTGAATACAAAATTTTTTTTTTGCCTCAAATAGACAACCGAGCACAAAATTATGGACGTTTAAAGTTTTACCTTCTTTCTAATACTCTGGCCAACACCCAACAGGCGATCCCTCTCCTTACTATACCCAGGCCGCCCTGGCTTCACCCAGCTTATAACCTTGGCCCTCTCCAATAATGCAAGAGGTGCCGCCCATATCCACAACAACATTTTCATTAGTCAAATAGAAATCCCGAGCTCTTAGCAGCCAAGGCGTCTCCCACTCCCACATAGCCAGCACCACCCATGCCACTGGTGTCGAGTCCTCTTCCATGGGCACCGCTTGATGCCCTCTATACCTTGGGCGCCTCTAGCAGTGCCTTGGGTGCCCTAGCAGCCCCTTGGGTGTCTCCAGTAGCCCCTTGGATGCCACCAGCAGCGCCTTGGGTGCCCCAACAACCCCTTAGGCTTCTCCAGCAGCCCCTTGGGCACCTCTAGCAGTGCCTTGCATCTCCTTGGGCGCCTCTAACAGCATCTTAGGCGTCCCAACAATGCCTTTGATGCCTCTAGCAACACCTTGGGTGCCTCTAACAATCCCCCAGCGCCACTGGCACAGCCACCTACATGTTGCCCAAAGGGCGCCGTCGCCTTTCCTCTCTCCAACACTTGCCCTTTTCATTCGGCGTCGTCTACCATGGGCGCCTTTCATCTAGGCATGACTCTCCTCGCTGACCTCACTAGATCCAAATTCCTTGGGGTCACAGCGGTCCCAACCGGCTTCGGTACTGCCTAAACCAACACCGCTCGCTACTGCCGTCTCATCGCCCTGAGCACATGCGCCAACCAGGGGCTCATTAGCATCGCCCAGCACCTAGGTTGACGCACTGAACTATCGGGTCTCTCCAATGGCGCCACCTGACCTGCCTTGAGCCACCTTTCTCCTTTCCATTAAGGAGCCTCCACCTGGGACACCATGTGATTGAAGCCCTCTTCATCGAATCCCTCCTCATTTTCTATGAAAGTTTATTACTACAAAGGGAAGAATGAAGAAAAAGGGGTTTTCAAGATTTTTTAAGTCCTGAGTATAGGTAAGATGCTCTAAAAAGGCTTGCAAAGTCCTAAAACACGGAGCCTAGGTGAAAGGAGGTCAAACACAAAAAGCAACCAACATTGCGATGGTGATGCAAGATGGGGAACGAATTTTTACAGACAGAAATAGAGAGCCGAATAAGTCACAATTGTGGAGAAGAATAAACCTATCTGTCCAAGCTTACTCATGCCCTTAACCCCTTCACCACCAGGGCTTGGGGCATGGGGGAAAATGAAGAGCCCAAAACCAATTGGGCCAGACCCAATAAATCAACCAAACTTAAGTCAGCAAAAAGGCAGCCCCAAGTTCACTTTATCAATCCGACCTAGTTCAAGATCCAAGGAGTCCCGGAAGACAAGAGCATGTGAGAGAGAGATTATCGGGATATGCACTCATGAAAATCAATCCTACCTTAATTGTACTTACCAAAGAAGTAGTGTCCTCTCACTCACGTCACCGCCTCACTAAACCTATATATTGTAAGCTTTCCACATGGAGATACATCTCTTCCAACACACATCTCTCCACACACCTTGACATCTCTCTACACCCCTTACACACATAACTTTTCTCTCCTAACTAGTGTACATCTCTCAAAAGCTTTCTCCTGGTTACTTTATTCATCAATAAAGACCTTCGGTCATCACTGCTGTTTCCCAAGAGTGGAGTAGGTCACCCGGACCAAACCACTATATATCTGCGTGTTTGCTTATATTTACTGTTTTGCCATTGATTATCTTATTTATTGTCCATCAATTACACCTCTTCATATATNCAAGGCGTCTCCCACTCCCACATAGCCAGCACCACCCATGCCACTGGTGTCGAGTCCTCTTCCATGGGCACCGCTTGATGCCCTCTATACCTTGGGCGCCTCTAGCAGTGCCTTGGGTGCCCTAGCAGCCCCTTGGGTGTCTCCAGTAGCCCCTTGGATGCCACCAGCAGCGCCTTGGGTGCCCCAACAACCCCTTAGGCTTCTCCAGCAGCCCCTTGGGCACCTCTAGCAGTGCCTTGCATCTCCTTGGGCGCCTCTAACAGCATCTTAGGCGTCCCAACAATGCCTTTGATGCCTCTAGCAACACCTTGGGTGCCTCTAACAATCCCCCAGCGCCACTGGCACAGCCACCTACATGTTGCCCAAAGGGCGCCGTCGCCTTTCCTCTCTCCAACACTTGCCCTTTTCATTCGGCGTCGTCTACCATGGGCGCCTTTCATCTAGGCATGACTCTCCTCGCTGACCTCACTAGATCCAAATTCCTTGGGGTCACAGCGGTCCCAACCGGCTTCGGTACTGCCTAAACCAACACCGCTCGCTACTGCCGTCTCATCGCCCTGAGCACATGCGCCAACCAGGGGCTCATTAGCATCGCCCAGCACCTAGGTTGACGCACTGAACTATCGGGTCTCTCCAATGGCGCCACCTGACCTGCCTTGAGCCACCTTTCTCCTTTCCATTAAGGAGCCTCCACCTGGGACACCATGTGATTGAAGCCCTCTTCATCGAATCCCTCCTCATTTTCTATGAAAGTTTATTACTACAAAGGGAAGAATGAAGAAAAAGGGGTTTTCAAGATTTTTTAAGTCCTGAGTATAGGTAAGATGCTCTAAAAAGGCTTGCAAAGTCCTAAAACACGGAGCCTAGGTGAAAGGAGGTCAAACACAAAAAGCAACCAACATTGCGATGGTGATGCAAGATGGGGAACAAATTTTTACAGACAGAAATAGAGAGCCGAATAAGTCACAATTGTGGAGAAGAATAAACCTATCTGTCCAAGCTTACTCATGCCCTCAACCCCTTCACCACCAGGGCTTGGGGCATGGGGGAAAATGAAGAGCCCAAAATCAATTGGGCCAGACCCAATAAATCAACCAAACTTAAGTCAGCAAAAAGGCAGCCCCAAGTTCACTTTATCAATCCGACCTAGTTCAAGATCCAAGGAGCCCCGGAAGACAAGAGCATGTGAGAGAGAGATTATTGGAATATGCACTCATGAAAATCAATCCTACCTTAATTGTACTTACCAAATAAGTAGTGTCCTCTCACTCACATCACCGCCTCACTAAACTTATATATTGTAAGCTCTCCACATGGAGATACATCTCTTCCAACACACATCTCTCAACACACCTTGACATCTCTCTACACCCCCTACACGCATAACTTTTCTCTCCTAACTAGTGTACCTCTCTCAGAAGCTTTCTCCCGATTACTTTATTCATCAATAAAGACCTTCGGTCATCGCTGCTGTTTCCCAAGAGTGGAGTAGGTCACCCGAACCGAACCACTATATATCTGCGTGTTTGTTTATATTTACTGTTTTGTCATTGATTATCTTATTTATTGTCCATCAATTACACCTCTTCATATACTCGACTGTTAATCTTGCACGATACTAATTTGTGCATCATCAATCTTATTTTTGGATAATCTCACTCAATTGAATTATAATCTCACCTCTTATTTTGTAATAACTTCAATATAATTAGAAAAAATATTTTTAGAGCAGTAATTAGTGTTACTGATGATATGGTCATATTTCATCGTCATAGATTTTTTTTTCAATTCATGTTGATAAAGTTAAATAACGAAAAGAGGCATTCTTCATTTTCTGGGAAAAGGGCAAATGAATGAGACACCTCAAGTCAAGACTCCAGGGTAGGGGAGCAGGCCACGAGTGAGTGGGCTGATTTCAATGGGCCCTTCCCACCGGTGCATGTTGCTCAATCGTGTGATTTTTGTCTCCAACCACATCATCATGAATGATAAGAAACGACGTTTGTTTATATTCAAAAACTGGCATCCCCAAAAACAATCAATTTTGCCTCCCGCTACCACTTGTTAGGCTTAGGAGATACGGAAAATTTTGACACCAGGCCTAATTATGCATGTTTGAAATTAAAGTAAACCCATCTAAGAGGTTTATATATATATATATATATATATATATATATATATAATGGAAAAAGAAAAGGACATGAGTTTGAAAGATTATGGAAGACGAGAAAAACACAAAACAGAAAAAAGACAGCAGCAAATTAATACGGCCCACAACTAATTTAACAGACACTGGTGGGACCCAACCATAAGCTGCCAGGCACCCACCATCAATCAGTAGTATCGATTGAGATTGAGAAGAAAGCGTCGCTTAGTGTAGTTGAGTCGAGTCCATATAGCAACTTAAGCGGTCGAAACAACTCTCCTTAACGTGAGAGACTGCACCGCAGAAAATTAATACGGCCCACAGCTAATTTAACAGACACTGGTGGGACCCAACCATAAGCTGCCAGGCACCCACCATCAATTAGTAGTATCGATTGAGATTGAGAAGAAAGCGTCGCTTAGTGTAGTTGAGTCGAGTCGAGTCCATATAGTAACTTAAGCGGTCGAAACAACTCTCCTTAACGTGAGAGACTGCACCGCAGAATATGGGGACTAAAAAGAGACCCTTTTTATGGTCACCGGAAAAAGCCAATGTTTGCATTTCTCATTTACGTCTACATGAAATGAACAATAAGTGCCCAGAAAGTCAAGGGTCATGGTGATTTTTTTTAGTGGTATTTGAGACTTAAAAAAATGATCTAATGTGATATTGACATAGTTTAATGGTGTTTTTATGATTGTAATTTTTAGATTTTTTTCATTGAAATTCTATCACTTGACACATTATTATCTCAAATTAATTTTTTAAATTTTAATAATATTCCTTTATATTTTATTTTTTATTTTCTGTTTACGGTGAAGATAAGACTATTTAAAGGCCAAAATCATTTGGAGACATGGTATCAAAAACGAAAAAAAAAAAAAAATCCATACCACAGTAATATCCTATATATATTCTAACCTACCATTGGATCTGCCGATAAAATTTTACATTTAACACAACACTTGCACAGTACTCGCTAGAAGACATGACATGTGATGTTTCTCGTCTCTCAAATCCCACCAGGTTCCTACCACCAAATCTTGTGGGTTCTTTCCATTCTCACTGAGAGAGAGAGAGAGAGAGAGAGAGACCTGAAAATTCAGTTGTGTGATGGGAGGGGAGGTCAAGTCAAAAGCATAGAATAGCAAAAGTATAGTATAGGGGCGTGGTCGTGGACCAGGAAAAGAACAAACAAGGCAACGTAATGCCAAAATGCATGTGATGCACCGCATGTGTCGGGATTTATACTGTGGGCCGGGGCCCTCAAATCTGCCTAGAAATCCACTGTATGTATATGTATTTTTTTCCATGTGTGTATTCATTTAAAAAAATTATAGTACTTCTATATCTCAAATGCATCAGGTCACAGCCGAGGTCTACATTCGACTTTTAACATATTTGGGTGATAAGCAGATGGATCTGTCAAAATTGCCTTTTTACGGATGTTGTTTTGGTAAAGTATGTCAACTTGTTTATCACTTCATTTACCCTTACAAATATTAGATATACAATTTTATTCACTTATCTATATTACTAATAAAAACAGTTGAATGAATTTTTTTGATTAACTATAATACCACTAATAAGACAATTAATCCCCATTAATGATACAAAAAAATTGACTAAGGGTGAGATCAGACATTCAACTCGATCATCAGAACTCGAATCACATAGTTCATGATGAACACCCAGAGGTTTGCAGGTCAAGGACCTCCAATAACAAGGAGCTCATGGGAACAACATGGATGACAAATGTTTTTCACTAGAAAGTTGCGGGTAAATGGCAATGGTTCCAACATTTAGGCAAGCGAGTCGCAACCGCCTCAACATTATTCATAGGGACTGTGCAAAAGACGAATCCGTTACCAGGAAATGACAAGAGACATATCCCTCACAATAGAATTCAAGCAATAGTTTGTGCAAATATCTTGTGTAATCTTCTCCCTTGATTAATTGAAAATTCTCCTAGGAGCAAGATACTCCTTCAAAGTGGATTAGGCGAGTTTCTGAGCTGAAGAATCACTATAAATTTTATATCTACGTTCCATTATTTCTTCATTGTTCTATTCCTAAGAGCTCTGATTAGACCATCCACTGATTTTCAAACCAATAAAAATCACATCTCCGCTCGACTTTGCAATACACATCACCATCACCCATAATATCTTTTGTAAGGTTAATGAATTTTTTTAATCTTGTAATTATTATTGTCATAAAAACATTATTTATATCTATATCTATGTCTACTTATAAATGTCAACTCTAGAGAAAAGCTTTTGATTTTTTTTTTATTGTATCCCTAACTAATCCTACAAAGGCAACATTATTCATGTTTAATAGCAACAATGATTTATTTAAGTTCTTGAGCATTAGAATTCAAAAACTAAAACATTCAATATGCAATGAATATACACATCACTATCTTTCAACTTGAATAGGTCTTCATATATTAATTAATATATCTGATGCAAGAAACTCTTCAACTTACTCCGTCTATTTATATTTTATTAAACTGCAATGAATACATTAGTTATGCGTGGGAAGTTGAATAATTTCAGGTCTNTATCTTTCAACTTGAATAGGTCTTCATATATTAATTAATATATCTGATGCAAGAAACTCTTCAACTTACTCCGTCTATTAATATTTTATTAAACTGCAATGAATACATTAGTTATGCGTGGGAAGTTGAATAATTTCAGGTCTTTTTTTTTATCACTTAGCAGTTGAAACCTAAAGAATATCATATTTTTCGTCTCTGCATAGCTCAACCAACTTTATTACCGCAACAGGTAGTGATTCAATGACTCTTGTTTGTGTTTGGTTGATCTTGTTTTATAAAGTCTCATAATGCTTTCTGAAAAACTGNGTGATTCAATGACTCTTGTTTGTGTTTGGTTGATCTTGTTTTATAAAGTCTCATAATGCTTTCTGAAAAACTGAATTTCACAAGGCCATAACCATTCATCTTCAAATGTATTTTGATTTGTTATGCTTATGACATATAGAGTTTTTCCCATTTTCAAAGTTAGATTTTCCTGTGAAATAGGATAATTCATCAATGAGGGTTTACTCAAGTGTGGTCAAAGGTTTCTCCTTCGGTTTGTTAGTAGGGGTTATATACTAAACCTGATTGACCACACGTATAAGATTTAAAATTTTGGTCCATGAATCATATAAGCACCAGTGTATTCTTAAATTGCAATGTAATTGGGTATGCATAAATTAGACTGCATATTTAGAATTTGCGATATTTTGAGATTTTCAGTTATTTATTGCTTATGAGAAATATGGGTACATTACTGTCTCACATCTTACGTTAGTGATTCTTCTTATTTACTCATTTTTTTGCCTAGGTACTAATACCTTCAACTTCCAACAAGTATATCCCTCATTCTCCACTTTCATAGTCTAACCTTAGTGCTAATGGGGTTCAAAGGCTAGACTTCATTAAACTCTTCTCCAACGGCACACATTTGTTTGTATTTTTTGGGTGTTTTTGAAAATAACNTTATTTATTGCTTATGAGAAATATGGGTACATTACTGTCTCACATCTTACGTTAGTGGTTCTTCTTATTTACTCATTTTTTTGCCTAGATACTAATACCTTCAACTTCCAACATGTATATTCCTCATTCTCCACTTTCATAGTCTAACCTTAATGCTAATGGGGTTCAAAGGCTAGACTTCATTAAACTCTTCTCCAACGGCACACATTTTTTTGGGTGTTTTTGAAAATACCTTTCTTTTTTTTTTTTTTGTTTGCAGATTTTGAGCTTGTTTTTCTAACAAATTAGTTGGAAAAAAAAAAAAAACAAAGGAAAACACAACCCAAACACTTTTTTATTTTGGTAAAAACTAAAAAAAAATGATTACGAACTGCACCCCAAAAATTTTTATTCAAATTGGTCAATGTATAAAATTGTTCAGGTCCAGCCACCTCAAAATTTTAGATTTGAGAAAAAAAATAACATTAAAATTGTAATTGTAATTGTAATTNCTTGTTTTTCTAACAAATTAGTTGGAAAAAAAAAAAAACAAAGGAAAACACAACCCAAACACTTTTTTATTTTGGTAAAAACTAAAAAAAAATGATTACGAACTGCACCCCAAAAAAATTTATTCAAATTGGTCAATGTATAAAATTGTTCAGGCCCAGCCACCTCAAAATTTTAGATTTGAGAAAAAAAATAATATTAAAATTGTAATTGTNTTTTTATTCAAATTGGTCAATGTATAAAATTGTTCAGGTCCAGCCACCTCAAAATTTTAGATTTGAGAAAAAAAATAACATTAAAATTGTAATTGTAATTGTAATTCTAAATAATACATGTGTAATGCATGTGTGCGCTAACTAATATATAAAAATATCTATATAATACAAAAGAATCTATTTTATACTCTTTCATAGGATTAGAAACCTACAGCTGTTCTAGAGAAGGAGGATTGAAGAGAAAAAAATGCAACAAAACGGTTCAAACCCTGCACTTATTTGACGGGTTACATGGGTCGTGTTGGGTAACCCTCATATAAGTGGGTCGTGTTTGATTTTATAATTTTCACTAGTTTAATAAATGAATCGTATACAAGTTCACTGATTTTAGACACGAAGCCGTTTAACTCAAAACGGTTATCACTCCTATTTTTTGGGAAAGATCCAATTCCTAAACAAGTTTGTCTGGGTTTTTTGTAAACAGAACAAGTTCAACCTCAAGATCCAAGTTTTTGTTGCTTTGAAATTTTGCTAATTTGGTAATGTAGAGGCTCAAAGAGCTTAGAAAATTTCTAACCGGATCAAGTCTTTCTAAGTTCTAACAGGCTTGGAATGGTAGAATATTGGTTGAATCTTCCCCTCCTTTGGGCTGCTTGCTCAGTGTACCAAACTTCAAAAGTCTTACGCTATGTTTGGTAACTGTTTTTGTCTTTGTTTTTATGTTTTTGTTTTTAATTTTTGTCAAAAATAAAAACAAAAACAAAAATATGTTTGATAACTGTTTTTGATTTTGTTTTGTTTTCGTTGTATTGGATACAAAGACAAAAAAATGGGAACGNAGGCTTGGAATGGTAGAATATTGGTTGAATCTTCCCCTCCTTTGGGCTGCTTGCTCATTGTACCAAACTTCAAAAGTCTTACGCTATGTTTGGTAACTGTTTTTGTCTCTGTTTTTATGTTTTTGTTTTTAATTTTTGTTAAAAATAAAAACAAAAATATGTTTGATAACTGTTTTTGATTTTGTTTTGTTTTCGTTGTATTGGATACAAAGACAAAAAAATGGAAACAAAAAAAAAATGTTTCAAGAAACACCCAACACAGAGACAACACGCGTATAAATGGGTGGGAAATTAATGAGATCCAAACATCAACTCTTCTTAACAGCAAAACACGCCTTTTTTTTGTTGAACTATAAAAACCCATTTCCCCACTCTTTTCTCCCCATCGCTAACCCCCNAAGAAACACCCAACACAGAGACAACACGCGTATAAATGGGTGGGAAATTAATGAGATCCAAACATCAACTCTTCTTAACAGCAAAACACGCCTTTTTTTTGTTGAACTATAGAAACCCATTTCCCCACTCTCTTCTCCCCATCGCTAACCCCTTGTCTCTCTCCTCTCTCCCTTATCTCATCTTTTTTTGTATCAGACCATCAGCCTCCATCGCTGCCTCCTCTCTCCCTCATCTCTTCTTTCTCTGTATCAGACCATCGGCCTCCATCACTGCCTCCTGTTTCCCTCCTTTCTCCTTTCTTCGTATGAAACCCAAAAGCTGTGAAACNTCTCCTCTCTCCCTTATCTCATCTTTTTTTGTATCAGACCATCAGCCTCCATCGCTGCCTCCTCTCTCCCTCATCTCTTCTTTCTCTGTATCAGACCATCGGCCTCCATCATTGCCTCCTGTTTCCCTCCTTTCTCCTTTCTTCGTATGAAACCCAGAAGCTGTGAAACCCACTTCAATCGCTGCCTCTCTCTCTCCTCTCTCCCTTTTCTCTATGAAACCCAGAAGTTGTGCATATATATGCATAGATCGCTGCCTCCAGACGAATCGCCGCCTCCATCACTGCCTCCTCTCTCCTTTCTCTATATGAAACTCAGACGGTGTGAAACCCACTTCCATCTCTCTCTCTCCTTTCTTCCTGTTCTCTATGAAACCCAGAATTTGTGCATATATATATGCACAGATATCTGTCACGTGTGTGTGATTGGCCATTTGAGATTGTTGAATTTGGGATTAAATTGTCATTTAGGATTATATCTGTGTATATATCATTTGAGATTAATTGTCATTTGTAACTAATTGAATTTTTATTTGGGATTGTTGAATTGTCATTTGGAATTTAATTACCAAATGGATATCAAACATATTTAGGATAAAATTTGAATTAGTTACCAAACATATTTTTTATTTTTATTCTCAAAATTTGATATACAAAAATGACTCTCAAACATATTTTTTGTTTTAGTGTTTATCACAAAACAAAAATAAAAAATTATTTATATTTTTAATTTTTTGAAGACGCGAAAACAAAAACGTTACCAAATGATCCCTTAGTCTTCTTGTCTCACCCACTCCCAATCTTGTTAATTAGCCAATCAATGATCACACTATCTATCGCCTTTTTTTTATTTTCAAAATCATCAAAATATTACTTTTTTCAATTTATTTGTCATACTACAGTAGTTTTTATGACAGTATTTCAAATTTTTCTTTTTTTTTTTGTTGTAACCGTGTTTTGTATACCCTTTGGTTTGGTGAAAAGTGATGGCCCAAGCTCAAAGGCCCAACTTATGTTACAAACCTAATGGCTCAACTCCAAGAAGTCCAACTAACCAAGTCCAAAGGAGTCTGCACCCCGTTAAACTCATCAGATTCTAGGAGTTACATCAATAAAAGAGCACACATGGTCGTTTAAGAGCTCATCCAAGAGCCTCCTCTACCACATTGGAATAAGAGTCATCCAAGAGCTTCCTCTACCACCTTGGAATAAGGGTCATTCAAGAGTCTCCTCTACCACATTGGAATAAGGGTCATCACCACCTTGGAGTAAGGGAGCATCCAGGAGCCTCACCCTCGCCGTTCGAAGAGAGTCAAGCTTCCCTCATTCTTTGACCAAGTTCTTTGGAGAGCATCATAACTTCCTTACCCGTTGAGGAGAGGATAGGTCGCCAAACTATTTAATTACCGTTAAAGTCACCCCAATCCGTTATAACTATTAAATAGCTCCAACCCGTTATGACCGTCAGACTAGCTATTCAATTACTACACTAAGCCACTATAAATTATAAATTCCACCAACACTTGGGAGGCATCAAACTCGTTCGAGATAATTCTCTCCTCCTCTCTCAAATCTTATAACCTTTTGCTCTCCCACTACATCGGAGTTAATAAAATCCCGGTGACCCTTGTCATTTCAAGTGGACGTTGGTCACCTTAACCGAACCACTATAAACTTAGTCTTATCTCTTTCTCTACTTTATTGCATTTTATACTATTTAATAACAGGTGATGTGCCAACCAATTTGTGTATCATAAAAAAGCATGAGTTCCACCCACGCTTTTACGGGGTTTTGGCCAAAAATATGGTGTTTTGTCAAAAAAAAAACTCGGTGATCCAAGGCTAAGAGGCAATTGTGTTGTCTAGCTGTTCAAGCTATGTATCATGTAGTTTATAGGAATAAAAAGGAGAGGATTCTCTGACACTAATTGGTATAAACTTATAAGTAATCTCATCCAATTTTCTTTAACAACACCCTGTTCGCGGTGACGGGAACATATACACGTTGAGAGTGAGATAGATCTGTAAATCACACTCAAATATCTTTCCATGACTAAATCTGGAAATTTTAAGGAATCTAGAGAACAGCCATCAGATAAGTGTAGCATGCTAAGAGCTTAGAGATGGAATCCTGAAGCACAGTGCCAGGATTAGACAGTAGTAGGCACATGACTGGAAGCCGGAAGGGCACTCAACCATGAAAACCCACTTCTTTTGTGGCATACCCAACCGTAACATCAACAAGCGAGTGCTGTTTATTTGCTAGTCAGATTAAGATCAAGAATGAAAATAATTGAACTATGAGCTCAATCATTCACATAATGCGAGACAAATTTTCTTGCAGGACAAGTTAAAGGATCACTAAATAATTACGTTGGACAGTTTGCTGATCATTTAATGTGTTTCGAGTTCAATCAAACATCGAATGTAGGTCAATCATCAACAAAAATGACAAGGCAAGGCAAGGCAAGCCTTCAGTGCTCCCACATTTTGCCAACATGCCTTGCCAAAATTATGACTAAATATCTATTTTGTAACTTGAAACAGTTAACAAAAAAAGAAAGAGAAATGTCAAATCTGCATCCGAGGAGACCTTGCTTTACACCAGAAAATCAGTCCTACAATTTAGACCACCACTGCTGAGTACTGAGAATTCTTGTAGTACTCACTCCTCAATAGGTAATGACGTCCCAGCTGCAAAATCACCATGACTTCCAAGTTTAGAGAAGTGAATAATAATAGCATCAACTAGAGCAATCTTATAGAACATAATCTGATACTTCTGATGGCTATCTCAGGTGAAGATATGGTTTTCCAGCAAAATACTTCAACAGAAGCTGGCCTTGTTTATATCTTGTTCATTAGATGAACCAGTCTTGTATACATAAAGGAAATAGGAAATATATCAGTCAGGTACCTGTGTTGCCTTTAGTTTGATCCTTCTGATGGTTCTCCATGCACTTTAGGAGGTACTTGAAGGTCTCTATCTCGCATGGGATTGTGAGCCCACCACTATGATCAAACCCAAACTCCTCCTCTGCCTTCTCCAGCAACACCTTAAATAAGGGGTCACTAAGATAGGTAGTGGGAATGATAAACCTCCGAAGCTCCGGGCCAACATAAACTGCCAAGTACCCTTTGGGAACATCATGAGGCGGTTCAGGACTCTGGCAACCATCCTCATCCGAATCACAATAGGGATTGGCGCTCCTCAGCCTCCTACTAATTGCCGGTGAAATGCCCCCATGAGGTTGATTAGTGTCAAGGTTGTTCCCCTTTGGGCTGCCTATTGTCACATTTTGCCATTTTTGGAGGATTTCCTTCAGCCTAACAATCTGCCGAATTCCATTCAACTTGCTTCCCCCATTGTCTTCCATTGCTATATCCTTACCACAAATAGTGATGAGATTGAATCCCAAGTTTCAATCCAAGGTGTTTGATTGGCCCTGAAAAAATAAGTCTTATCGATCAGATAATCTTCATCTGCTGCACATACACGTGAGGTTAATTAGAGACCTCAGGGTCATGGCTTGTGTCCTCTCTATATACTTTTCAATAATGGACTGATTAAACCGTTAGGAGTTTCTCTGAGAAATTTCTGTTATTTAACCCAGATTTTTTGATGAATTAAGAATCTGAGTATATATGCCTCGTGCATTTCCAGGGAAATTATCTCAAGAAATTATTGCCTTGAAGGATTAAATAAATAAATGTCACCACAAGCGTAAAAATCAGCAGGGGTTTGATTATATAATTAATTAATTAGTCAATTTATTCTCATTCTGAAATTGCATTTAAGCCAAATTCAAGGCTCAAGATCCGTCAATATTGGAAACAATTTTATGAATGAAATAATGTAGCAGATCATACTAACCCGCCATTAATGTAACAGATCATTCATAGCACGCAGATTCATCTGTCAAATTATTACTATCATACACGAATAAATACACAGATACCACAATAACTGCAGTGCAGGATATGGAGAACGGACAGGACAATTTTATTAGAGCCATGCATTGAATGAAAAAGAAAAAAAAACGAAATAAATTAATTGATCTAGGAATTCATTCAAATCGGCAAACAAAACAAAAGCAAAAACTAATCACATATATGTGCGAATATTGATTGGAATTTGGAAGAGAGAGGGAGAGAGATGATGGGTGAACCTCAAACTAGTGGTGATGGAAGGAAGGAAGGAAGACTGTCAGTGGCCGGTCAGCTGGCAAGAGGAAGAGCAAACGCCATGTTTGAGGTGCTTCGGATGGAAGGCCCTTTCCTTACGCTTCTCTTTGAAAAAGAGATTTCAGAATGATAATAAGTAATAATTCAGAAAATCCAAATCCAAATCCAAATCCAAATCCAAATCCCATTTGAAAGAGAATACAATTCATTACTTTGGGGTTGGGAGGGTCTCCACATTTGCTTCTGTATGTGGCATTGGTTATCGCAGTGAATTTCTCTCTTTCCTCTGGCTTTACCTTCCTTCTCGGACCTCCTCCCTCTGGGTTTTTTTTTTTTTTCCTCTTTTCTCCTTCACTAAAAAAAAAAAAAATTCACAGGAATTCTACGTGTGGTGTGGTTGGCTACTTTATGTTTTATTTAATGAAAGGAAACATTGGACAGATTACAAAAAGATTGAGATCCGCAGCAAACGCAGTTCTGATACATTTAGTCCCATGAGAAGTTCTTCTACTCGGGACGTGACACTACTCCCTTGATGTCTCCTTTACCTCACCTTTAATTTTATCTCCTTAGTCCACAAAATGCCTTTAAGAAAGAATTGAAAAAACGAAAATGTTTGGTTTTCATACTAAATTTTAGTTTATTGTATATTGACACTCCTTAAGGTCCGTTCATATAATAAGATAATACTAAAAAAATATAATTTTTTTTTTAAAATTCTACATATGTTTGTTTAGTATAAAAGAAAAAGTAATAAAAAATATAATTTTTTTTTATAATTAGATTTTCTAACATCTAACTAACTTTTTTTCTTATTACACAAAATGTGCGAAACTGCAAATAAAAACATATGCCATCCCATTTTGAAACCTGATCTTGAATAGTAAATAGGTACCTAAAACTCCATGCTGTTTGTTCATAGTCTTTTTTGCACTTTCAGCCCAATACATCTTTAGGGCCTGTCTAGTTCTCAGGTTTTGATCGAATATGATAAGATTTTAATTTTTTAACCTACCCAACCCAATCCAGCCCAATCCAACCCAACTCAACCTAACCAGTGCCATTGTAAAGGAAATGAATGTATTCCTATCTAATTTCCTGTTTGGTTTGTGTAGTTAAAATTTTGTAGGTCCCACAAATTTCAAACCTTTTATTTTATTTTATTACAATTGTACCAACATACCCTTAAGGGGCTGTTTGGATGATTTTTTGGGAAGAGTTTAAATTAGTTTATCTAAATCCTTCTAAACTCAAATCTTTTTTTATAAAGATGAGATTTAACATTCAATTTTGTTCATACCCATGTTTAATATGCCAACGGATATATTATTATTATGATAATATATTTGTCTATAAATAACTATTTTTTCCCTTCATCAATTTAATTTAAACTCATGTTTGTATATATACATTTTCTTGTGTCCTTATAGTATTTATATTTGATTATTTTTTATACATTGTAAATAATAATTTTTTTTAATAAAACATAATTTTGGTTGTAAAATTTAAGATATTTTTGATTGGAGTATTTTAAACTTGAGCACCCACACGCTCTAATAAACGTATCAAAGATGCCTCAAAGTTCTATGAAGAGGATGATTTTTTAGAAAAGTTCTGGTGTTATAATATTATTTTTGAAACTTAAGGGATAATAATGATGTTTCTATAACTTGAGGGGCCAAAATATAAATACACTAAACTTATGGGGTTTTAATGAAATTTGTGGTATGTCTTCTTTGTTTTCTCTTCGGGGCGACGGGAAGTCACTGCTGACAAAATTTATTGTTGGCATTGCAGTGAAAGGATCAGTTGCTATACCATTGAACAGTGGAATGGTTAAAAACATTATTGAAAATAAACATTATCGAATGTTAATAATTAAAAAAAAAATTCATAACAAAAATATTCACAAAATAAAAACTCAAATTAAACAAAGTTTATTAAACACCCAAATTAAAAACATAAACATAAAATTTATGTGTGTGAGAGAGAGAGAGAGAGAGAGAATGGTGTACCAGAGAAGATGTTGTTGCTGTTGCTGGTTTAGTCATGACGATGAAAAATTCGTGAAGGGTAAATGAGTAGATAGAGAGAGAAAGAGAGAGGAGTGGCGTGTAGGGGGGTATAATTATTTTTTTTATAGTTAACACTCATTAACCCTCATCTGAACCTCCACTGGGTTTCATAAAATCCATGAATATGAATTTAAATTACGGGCCTAAAACGGGTTAGATTTGGTAACTTGGACTAGAAATATAATTGTTAAACATGGGATTTGTTAGATTTTATGAACTTTTATTCTCGACCCATCTTCCAAATCACCCCTTATCCTAAGAGCCCCCAAAAGTTCAATTCTATTGGGACATAAATATCAGGGGTAAAATGGTAATTGTGCTTAAATCCTGGCTAGAATTTATCCCACCTCCTACTAGGTGGGTTATAATAAACCCACATAGATGGGCAAAAATACAATGTACATGTTGGGCCAGAATATGGCCCAATGGAGTTATCTGATTCTAAAAGTAACTTCTCTAACATGGTTATGTGAGTCTCCGGGGGTAAACCCAAAAAAAAAAAAAAATGGTGTATGTGGGTCTCCAAGTCAAATTATCCTATCCAACAAGTGATTTTCGACTTTATCCTATCATCCAAACACACCCTTGGTTTATTCAAATTGTTTGCACATGTTTATATTATGAAAATTTTATGTCATTATTAAAGATTATTGTGATTAAATACCCAACTTGGATTTGGTACAATTTTTTTGTTAAAAACAACCCGTATGGCCGGAAAAACTATATCGTTTAAGACACAAACATTTTATAATTGAAATAAGAGAATTATTAGTTCGTCTTTTATATTTGAATACAGTATGGGTGTTGGGGCCTTTCTTTTATGTAATTTTTTTTTTTTTGCCTTTTTTGATGTGCTACAAGTGATTCTCAATTAATTTGTTGGTGGGACTCAAAATACACACATAAAAAGATAAGTTTGATGAGGCCAAGAACAGAGCCTATCTACAGTTAGACTACAAAGGAAGAAGCTACACTATTGCCATCAGTCTCAATTACTACATTTTATTGCAGTATATCAGTCCTCAATCCTGCACTCGAAAAAAAATGATAAAATCTTTAAAAATAGAGCTCAGATAGGTAGTTATAAACTTGTAGCACACAGATTCGCCTACTTCCATTTCCCTTCAAAGATGATGAAGAGCGCGCTATTTGTAAGTTCCTAAACTTCCTAAGCATATGGAGTACATTTGTGGGAGCTACTATGGAAGACCATTTTAATTGTTTGTGGCACAATTGAAACCACTAGAGTTGATACTTGATGCTGAATTATCCCTGCTTGGCAACCATTTTTGAAAATCACATGATGAAAATAGCAGAACCTCACATGGAGATCCATGTTAAATGGCTCTTATGCATGACTTTTGGCCATCCAAAACATTGACATTATGGTACGTGCAACCTTCTATCAATGTTTCTGTAATCTTGAGTACTTTCACCTTATAATTGAACACCATAAAGTTTTGTCAATCAAAGCCCTATCATTCTTGAACAAATAAGTTTTCCTGTCCTCAGTACATGAAGCTCATCTCTGTTTGTTTTCTCTTTGGTCTAATCACAATTAATAATTAGAAGTTCAAAAATTTCAATATTACATTTCTTGTTGCTTGTGTAACTTAAAGTGGCATGATCAGGGGTTGACTTGCATTATATTTAGAATGAAGCAGGATTAGAAAACTTGGCAGTGATGACACTATCCATACAATCATTCCTCCTGATAAAAATGGAACTATGCATTATCCTGTTTCCTGATATAATGTTGGATCAATTTGCGAGATATAACATTGGATCAATTACCATCTGAAAAGGACAAGTCGGCAAATGTTATTAAGATTGAGACTGATTGGGTGTTCATTACGTGGTGGCTAATAAGAGTCCGCTGGGTTGCTGACATTACAATCTAAACACTTAGCTTGAAGTTTTTCCAGAGAGACATTATTACTGTATTTTGATGGCTTTTTACATCATCTATTTCCAAATTCAATGTCAAATAGCTTGTAAATGAAGTAAGCCTAAGCACACAAGAAATCTGGACTCCACTAAACAATTCAAGCCAATCAAGGGTTTCTTCGTCCATTTAAACTCTACCAACCGAAGACAGGAAAAGGTCAAAAGGTGCAACATATAAGAATGAGATTGCAACCTTTCGGCTCACCAAGTTGCAGTTTTTTTGACAAGAGATATATCCCTTTGACACCTGCAGTTTGAGACTGAACAGATGAAACAAGTGATGTAAGATTGCTTGGTTATGAAGAGTTTACTGTGTTCCACAGGTTCTGCAAACCGACTCGAGTGACATATTAGATTTCTCACACTATATAACCTGTTTAATGATGTGTGAGCCCCAAGTATCAACGTCTACTTGAAAGCCCCTTCCGTGGTTGATATGAACATTCCACTAATTGCTTCTTAAGAGATCTTATTTTTCTATTCACAGCACAATATAGCTCAAAACCAGTCCCACACCAACCATGAACGATGCTCACACGGCTATGCTCCGATCATAAAAGCACTCTACATGAGAGAGTCCACCACAGTCTCTCTTTTTTTTTTTTCTTGGGGTAGTACGAGTGTGTACATAGTCGCTTTCCCAATCAAAATTAAGGGAAAAAAAATACGAAATAAGACAAATGATGATGAGATTCTCATAAAAATTGGTCTTTAAAACAAAATAACAATTTCATCACATGAGTGTGGACCCAACTTGACCCAATAATTTTCATGAAGCAAATAGGGGTAGGGGCCTCAGATAATGGTGCAAACCCAGAACGCACCGAGGGGAAAGAGGATGCATGGTACTCAAATTAGCTATCTGCTGGGTTCTATTTTATTTATTTAAAAATGTTGGCAAGAATAAGGTTTAATCAAAGCGAGTTAGTTGCGTATGGCCTTTCAAATCTAACATCTTAAAAACTTTTTCTCTCTTCAAGAAATGACATGCATTGGTCACTGCTGCTTTCAGATAACGCTGGAAGTCGTAGGAGTTGTTGAGCTTAAGACCGAATTTCAATTTCCAAATGTCTTCTCCCATTCTATTATCACTCCAATTAATATTCTAAACAGAAACAATTGGCCTTCCTCAACCCTGGTACATGCACCTTATATATATATTGGCCTCCCTCAACCCTGGTACATGCACCTTACATATATATATATATATATAGCAGCATGGACTAACCCAAACCACCCAACCCCATTCTTGAACTTGTGACAAGGACTTGTGGTACTATTTTACAGTGATTTTTTAGAAGATACAGTGCCCTAGCTACTTGTTTTTGTTGAG